ACACTGTATAGTAAATATATGGTGGCCTCAAGGGGGCCACCACGGTGCAAAGACAGTGCCGTGTGAGGGGGGTACTGTATGGGTGGAGCACGGGTGTCGCTGAGAAGGGGGTTGCACCAGGACGTGACGGCGAGGTGAATCCGGGGGGACACGTGACCGGACGAGAGGGGGCAGGAGGGCCCCAGTCGGAGGTGAGAGGATCATGTGATGGGGATCCAGAGTCCCCACGAGGGTTCTGGAAGGGGGGCGTGGCCAGGGGCGGAGCCAGCCAGGCCAGGGGAGTTATAAGCGGGGTCCCGAGAGGGACCGGGGCTCGATCCTGGAAATTAAGTCGCCGTCCTTGAGCCTCGATCCTCGGTCTCCACGTGTGAACCAGGCAACCCGTTGTTGGCTGTCCGGGTCCGGCTATAGAATTGTCTGCGAGTGTAGTGTAGTTAGCCATGGTGGTAACCACCCTATGTTGGTATCCTGTTAGAGTTACCCGTAGTGTTAAATAAACGTGTTGCCTCCAAGTATAAGTCTGCATCTAACTTATGCACTACAACTGGCGTCAGAAGGTGTTATGTATACAAGAAGACGGCAACTTACCATCGTCCTCTTCATCTGAAGACTTCTTCGGATGAAGAGGACGATGAGGGAATCATTCCCCAGATTGCCCCGACGATGGCCACTCCGGACAAGGCTCACGACACGACGCAGCCGGCAGAGCAGCAGGGAGAGCACGGCGCCGCAGCTTCGACGCCGTCAGGAAGAGAGCGTCGGACGTACCGCACGCGTCTTGCAGAGCTGCTATAAGCTGTGGTGGCGCTGGTCGCGGAGTTAGAGCAAGAGGATCCGGTGGGGGAGGTCGAAGAGTTGGGGCTGCGGGGCGACGACTCCATCGCCCCTCTTTCCCACCTGCAAGAGACTTCGGCCATGCGGTCCGAGAGCGCGGCCGCCATTTTACCGCCTGCGGGAGGATTTGCGAGCTCACAGCCCATGCGTGCGTCCGCCATTTTGCGACTCGGGCGGGACGGAAAGCCCGCCACACTCGAAAGACCGCCAGCACCGCCGCTGGAACTTCCGTCACGCAAGCAATGGCTGCCGTTTGTCCCGGCATGCATCCATGAAGTGTGTATGCGCCGATGTCGGAACAGCGTGTTGGTAATTACAAGCCCATGGGCTGCACACCAGTCTAGCAGCCTCCTACCGTTGTTATTGAGCTGATCTGGCCCATACCTTCCAATCACTCCAGACCAGGTGCCAGCATCATGCCCAACTTGGGCATTAAAGTCACCCAACAGGATGAATCTATCCCGAGGGGCTAATCAAGCTCGCTAGAAGGCATCTGACTCATCGGCCTTGCCTGCATCCCTCCACTGATGTTCATTTTCGGTGGGGGCATAGGTAACCACGACCACCACTCCTCGCCTTTGGTAAATGGGAAGGCGAGCCCAAAGTAGCCTGGGGTATACATCATCAAACATCTCACTGCCATGCTCCCACACTTCCTTCATTCTTTTGTTCAGAAGAAGAGCCCTGCTCTGTTGTTTGGAGTCCCCTGCCCCGAGTAGTGGACTGTCCACCCCACATGGTTGCAGGAGCCACAGCCGGTCCACCGGACCTCCTCAATACCAGAGATCCAGGCGGTACCGGTCCAGCTCCCGACAGAGAAGTCGCAGCCTCTCCTCCGCAGTGAGCGTTCAAACATTCCACGTGGCCACCCGCAGTGGCTCTTTGCTATTTCTGGAGGAACCCCAAGGGTTAGGATTCAGTCTCCTGGCTCCGCCAAATGGGGTTTGGCCAGGAAACACCATAGATGCCTGTTCCCTCAGGGCCTCCGGCACAAGCTTATTAGTTACATATTTAAGTCGTGGTTTAGTGGTAATTAATTGAAGGTGGAGGAGTTACCAGCCCCTCGCACCCGTCTAGAGGCCCGTTTGGTCGCTGCAGTGACTACAAACGCCATGAGGGGAATGACAAATCGAAATTGGCCCTCCCCCCATAGTACTGCTCATCACAGTGTTACTGTCCAACATCAACGAGGAGGTAGGGGGTTATTTTTGCCAGACTACAAAGACAAAGATCCCGCGTATAGCCTTAACAGACTGTAGGGGTAAGTGCTGTTAGCGAGCACCTATGCCAGACTACACACACATAGACACACACAAACACACACACACATGGGGCACGCACACACACACAGGCACATGGGGCACGTGCACACAAACACACAGACACACATTCCAACGACCCCCTTTATAGCCTCAACAGACTGTTGGAGAGCAGCGCCTATGGAGGCCGACACGGCACACGAGGGTGTGGGTGGGCAGCACCATGCCCAGCCACCAGGTTCAGGACCCATTCAGATAATCGTCGCCAGGTTGGTGGCGCAGTGCGCTAGACATTGCCCTACCATGCCCCACACATACACACAGGGGGGGAGGGGGGCACGCGAACACAAAGACCAAAGAAAAAGATCCCCCGTATAGCCTGAATAGACTGTTTGGGCAAGTGCTGTTAGCAAGCACCTATAAAGGCTGGCACGGCACACGAATGGGTGCATGGGTGGCCAAGACCACGCCTTTGTCTCCCTCGTGGCGATGTTTACACACCGCACCAGGTACTCATTTGATGCTGAGTCGACCTAGGACCGGTTCAGATAATCGTCACTTGTGATGGTCGGGAGCAGAAATCGAACCCGGATCGCCGGGTTCAACGCGCAGTGCACTAACCACTGCACCACTGCTCCCCACACTACCGCTCCTCACATTCACACACACTTTAACGCATACACACATCATTTTTAGCATGAGGATGACTCATTACATCTCGCGGAGGATTGCTCCGCTGAACAAAATAGTCCTGCAGTTCAGTTTGCAAGTGCGAGTTCGCGTTTTAAGTCAATGCAAAAAAATATATTTCATAGAAGCTGGTTCTTAAGTGTGGGTATTCGTAAGTCGGGCGTTGAAAGTCGATGACTATATGTAATGTCATCCCATTTCCAGCGCTGATTCTGAGTTTACTTAGTCGTGATACTTTGTTATTACGAAAGGAGTTTGATACTCAACAGCGACTATTCGTGTAACTATTCATATCCCTATTTAAAAAAAAAACTGCTCATCAGACAACAGTGCAGTCTTCCAACTCTTATCTCTCTCTCTGGCCAAATATATATATTTATTTTAAGGCCACACACGCCGTGTTGTTTTTTGCTCATCGTGCCTTTGATGTTAAACACGTCATGGGCAGACAAGGTGAGTGACTTACATGCGTTATGGATTGCTGCAGGTAAAACAAGAACATTCATGAGACTAGAGAAAGGCAGGGTTAGATTACTCGGACATGTAATGATAAAATAAGAGACTGAGTATAAATGTGGCGTGACGGGGAAAATGACAGTTATAGCAAGAAGCCAGAAGAGAGACAGCGAATACGGTTACATAAGCAGCTTGAACAATTGGCTGCAACCGGGAGGAGTAATCCAATGCCAGTCAGTGTTTCAGTAGCAACCACAGACAGAGCTCAAGGGAACGAATGCCATGATAGCCGGCGTCTTTGAGAAGGACGCGGAGCTTACGAGGGTAGAGAAAGAGCACCGACATTACACTGTGTCATTCATAACAGAGGTTTTCCTCGGTTAGATCGCGTAAATATAAATGTGTCTTTAAACCCACCACCGCCTGACAAAGCCAATAGTAAAGTTGCCATGTAAACAAAACGTGCCAATTAGTTACTAGTTCAGCACTAATCGGTTGTGTGTTGGAGAGTTAAAACCCACATTTTCAATTCGAGTACCGTGACGTTTCGCCCGGTAATTACAGCCAGCCTCGTCAGGCGACAGCCACGGAGTTGTGGATACATCCTCCTCCTGTTTGGGTCTTAAACAGATGGATTAAATGTGATGTCGTCACTTGTGAGCCAATCAGGAGCTTATTTGAATGTTTTACGCAATCTAACCCCCCCCCACCCTCTATTATTATATTGGTCGCGAACGCCTACATGTTAAACTGAACAACTGTGTTGCAATCAACATTTTTTAATTTTCGATTTAAAGCTTTCGTGACTGCAGGGATTCATCTTCTTGGTTTTTTCGGTAAAGTCACGTAGAAGGGAAGTAATAAAATAATAAAAATAAAACATAATAAAATAATTCTCACGACGTTTCGGCCACAACGCGAGAATTATTTTATTATGTTTTATTTTTATTATTTTATTACTTCCCTTCTACGTGACTTTACCGAAAGAACCAAGAAGATTGTTTTAATTGTTTAACTTCCGACTTGATGTCAGAATTTGGACAGAAAATCTTGCGAGGTGGTTCAATGCTGAGGGCATGGGGAGGCTGCTTGCCAAGGACCTCGGCTTTAGGAATATTCATCAATTTGTATAAACGTTTGCAGGAACTTTCGGATGAGATGGAATAGGGCCACATAGCCCAAGTCCTGCACGTGAGGTAGTAGTTGTTGTGACATTAGAAGGGCCACTGCCTGAAACGTGGCCAGCTATGTAGATTGTTATTCTTGTAAGGCCACAGTGTTGTGGACGAGTGTGTTGAGTTGTTGTTGGCTGTGCTCGTGCACCACTGCAAGTGACGGACTGGGACTAAACATCGACCTGGCCATTTATAAACACAATGGGCCCAAATTGTCGTGCCATCCTCATTGGTACCATGTGGGGCTGGGTCCAAAAAAGCGAATGGGCCCGTGAGGAATAAGCTTTGGGGCTGCCGAATATGGGGACGTATTGCCAACTGGGAGCGTCAATAAGCAATGGAGCGTACACATTAGAGGTAATACAATATTTAGAAAAAATTACACTGATCTAATTTGCAATTTCCTCACACGGAGCGGCCTACCGGCCCTTGGCATGGAGCGGCCCAGCGGCCCGACGGCCAGCCCATGGCCTGACCACTGCCAACGCAGCAGCAACGTTGCCATAAGCACGTGGCGCTTTGAGCAGAGTCGCGGCTGTTTGCAGGGCAAACACGAGCGGCCGCTGTTTGTTTGATAAAGAATCTCACAAAGCACACAGACGAGACAGTGATTAACAACGCCGAGACGAGTTACCCCGGAGCCCTCACTCGGAGCGGAGCCCACACGCGCGCGGAGCGACCGCGGGCACGACGACGACGACGCGCCCCGTCTCGCCGCCAGCGCCTCGTCGCCACCGCGGGTGAGACGCGCACAGCCGAAGTCGACGGCAGCGGCAGCAGCAGCCTCTTCTTGACACGGCGCCACTGTTCGCGACCGATGCCGTCATAATCAGCATCAGTCCGGTTACCGAACGTTCTCCCCGGTCTCCAGAGTGACAACTCAAGTTGTGTACTCGGTAGCCGAGTACTGTGCAAGCAACTATGTACTATTACGATGTTTTTGTTTTACCAGTTAAGGTACAACTGAGCTACGACCTAGGCCAAAAATGATAGCTCAACGAAGTGGCTTATCGTGTTTAAATGTATAGCAGCCAAACATTATGAACGCGTGATGTCGATTCTAAATGTGGAGGGAAAAACCGGAGGACCCGGGAAAAAATTCACGCAACCACGGGGAGAGACACGCAAACTCCAAATATACAGCAGCAGGCGTCAGGGTCGGCATCGAACCCAAGACCTCCTGTATACCAGGCGAGGTAGTTAACATCTACAACTGAACGCCCAGTGCACGAATGACACCATAAGTAGAGCTATGGTGGTGGTGACGATGGCCACAAGCGCAGCCGGAGCTGACCATGAGGGAGAAACATCAAAATAAATCCATTACCTTGTTTTTCATTTGCTCTGAGTTGTAGCAGATGTTTAGTAGGCTGACGTTTCGTGCATTGGCCCTTCAGAATTGAGAGATTGAGGGGGGAGGCACAGACGTTGGGTTAGAGTTTTAGCTTACTTTTTATACTCTGGGGTTCACGAGCAAAAAAAACTGTAAACAGTTCAATGCCGCTGAGATTAGCACGGTTTGCTACGTACGGTGCGAAATAAGTTCAACATACATGGAATCAGCAGCGATACGTTCAGGCGCTAAGTTCCAATGTCGAGGTCTGCTGGCCACGTCGAGAGGGCTTCAGGAGAGAGTTGGTGTGTAAGTTTGCTGTTCCTCCTCCCTTGAAGGAGCACAGACAACAGTGGTTTACTATATAGTCCATAGTCTGGGTGGCATTGCCACATTCGCAAAGCTTGAACTGATGGTACCTCGAGAGTTTTCGCTCAGCAGACTTTGAGTAGTAAAGACATTATATGGAACAATGCAACGGTATGGAGTCTGTTTTCTCCGATTATTCATTCGACCTGGGAGGGCCCAGGATGATCGATACTTCGGTTATTCCTCCAAGGAAAGCCTCACCAAGTTTCGGGCTCGTTTTCAGGATGTGCTGCCAGGTTTTCGCAGCATCAGGAGAGGGTGATGATGTTGCTGTAATCCCACGTGAGTGATACGCGGTGTAATTTTCCAGCATTGGGATATTTTTTGTCTATATTTTTTTCATTGGGGCAACGTGCGGGGCCCCATTACATCGCGTTGTGACGCACGTGCCCACACCGTCAACATCAACTGCACCGGGAAAGGCCCCTCCGACGCCCCACCAGCATTGGGATATTTTAATGTTATACAGAGGCTTATTTATTGGCTATGTCGCCGTGAAGGTATACTGATGCTCTTTTTAAGTATTTGCGAAACTCGCGAATCCAGAACTCGCGAATAGTCGATGGGTTTACTGTACTGAGTTAGGTACGCTAACCGCTGCGCCACCACTCCCCACTGATAGCACACGCAGCAGACTCGACAGCGGCGCGATAACGCGTCCACTGCGCTCCAGTGTCACCAGGGTCATGGACTCTTGCTCGGGCAGCCTGGGTCCATTGTCAACATTGCGCAGCGTCCCGCGATAACGTTCAACAACAGAAACATCGGTATCAGATCTTGGTCACTCGTCGATTCCTGCCACCTGGACACGGCCGGTCAAGATCTCAGCCTGCCCGGGTCGAGAGTGAACCAACTCCGGTCACCAAAATGAGAAAATATTTTTTAAAGTCAATGTACAAACCTCGTACTACAAGTTGCCTGTGACCAAATCTCGAACAGGCGGCAACTATGGGGGGGGGGGGGGGGGGGCAGCGTAATGTGACGCATGGGGGGGGGAGGTCAGCCACAAGGTGGTCTCCGAATCAACAAGATAAACAAGTACAACAAATGTTAGGAACATTTATTTCAACAAAAAATATTCCAACAATGAACTATAATTTCCAAAGAAAAAAATATTGTTACGGATGAAAATTTTTTTTTCTAAAAATACACAAAGCGTAAAATCTCGTAGCGCGACTGTTGGTGTTTGTTACTGAACACCACCACGCTTGTTTGCTGACATGCGCATGAAAGCAAGATGCACGATAACTTAATTGTGCGTATTGTAATCTTTAAATGTTTTTATTAATCCTGTCACTGTGAGACGATCTTCCTCTAAACCCAACATACGGTGCCACTAAAATAATATATACAGTTATAGCCTAACATAGTATTGCGTAACAGGGGGTTAAAAACCATCCGTAGATATTTCAATGAAAGTGAATCGGGAGAAAGCAGATGGGAGGGGGTCACAGTCGAATCTTGCATAGCCACGCCGTTGTAATAGGTCGCTGCGCTGCGGTACAATAAATGGATACAACTAACCATAGGAGGAAGCTTTCGCGACGAATATTATTCATAATAGAGGTTTTTGGGTCAGATCACGTAAATATAAACCCGCCACCACCTGACACAGCCAATTAGTAAGGTTTGTCACGTAAACAGAACATTACAATTTGTTACTGGTACATCACACCGGTGTGTTGGAGAGTAACGAATTGGCATGTTCTGTTTACGTGATAAACCTTACTCATTGACCTCGACTCACGGTCCACAATGACCACGTAGGCAAAGACACGCCCCCCTTCGACCAACGCCACGCCCACTTTCTTTCACATGGTGGGAGGGGGTGGGCAAATTTTCTGATTGGATGAGTTTGTCTGGTGCTTGATTCTATCGCTCCATTCCAGCGCGGATCCTCCCCAGAGTGCCAAGGCAGTCGTCGTCTTCGTCGTCGCTGCCGTACAACGCAGCCACCCGCCAGGGCAACAGATGGCCCCAACCGGGAGCTGGGCGGGCACCGTGGGGGGCCTTGCCGGCGGAGGACCCCCCCCCATCCTCGGGTGGATGCTGCTGCTGCTGCTGCTCGCCGCAGGTCCGGCCGCCAGCCAGCTCATGGCGGCCGCGGCTGAGAGCGAGGAGGCCCTGGAGGCCAGGTGCAAGCGGCCTCCGGTGTGGTCGATAGGCGGTGGCGGCGTGGTGCCAATGACGGAGCGGCTGGGCAGCGTGGTGGTGCTGGCGCTGCTTAAGGCCAGCTGATACTTCTGCTTGAAGCAGGCACACAGGTAAACTTAAACATTTTTGTTTATTGTACCAGGTAAGGTACAACTGAGCTACGTAGCTCTTTTTTCAGAAGTGACCTGGCTGTCACAGCTCAAGGAAGCGGCGGCTTATCATGTGGGCATTTATATCAGCCAAATCTTCTAAATGCACGTTGATTCTAAATGTGGAGGCAAAAACCCGGAGGACCCGGAGAAAAATCCACGAGACCACAGGGAGATAGACACGCACACTCCCACCACCACACTATACCATTGACCGTCGCGTGAAAGGTACTAAGAGGAAGCAACGAAATATGTCAATGGGAGAGTGGTGGTAGGAGACTTGCAGCGGAGCAAAGAATCCATTCTCCGCAGGGAATGGAGACTTGCAGCGGAGCAAGGAATCCATTCTCCGCATTTCCCATAAATATGCTAAATTCCTCTTGATATGCAAATTCCTTTGTCAAGGCGCCCCTTCCCCCCTCCAACCCAGCTGAAATATACGCTGCCAAGCCTGGTGGTGCCCATTCAGACGATGTCTTCCCGACAGACCTGTTCTTCACCTGAGGACGGCTGCTTGCGTTGTGGCCGAAACGTCGTGAGAATTATTTTATTATGTTTTATTTTTATTATTTTATTATTTCCCTTCTGCGTGACTTTACCGAAAGAACCAAGAAGATGAATCCCTGCAGTCACGAAAGCTTTAAATCGAAATTTAACCCCAGTTGCTGTTTGCTCTTCTTGTAAGTGGAGGCTGGTCGTGTCTCGCGGCGAGCTTGACCGCAATATCGGAAGATTGAGTTCACTCTTGGGGGGTGGCCAGCGGGACCCTCCACCCTAAATGCCTGTGACCCTCCCAGTGCCTCTCGTCTCATTCTTCTTCCGTCGTATGGTGGGGAGGAAGAGATGAGCCAAGCGTAGCTTGACACATCGGCCATCGGCCATCAGCCACAAGGTCCCCTTCTGTGAGCCACATTCAAGTGTCTCATCAGCACGAAGGCCGGTTGGCTGATGGGATGTATGATTTTTTTTTCAAGTTTTATGTGGAGGGATGGATACGTAAAGCAGCATTGTCCGCTTATTTGGTTATTGGGGACAGCTTTTAGATGGAAGGCATTCATGCACTGCCCTCTGCTGCCTCTAATGAGCACACACACAATGCAATCATACATACCAAAACGTGTTTGCTATGTACGTGTTTGTTCTGCGCGTGTTTGTTATGCGCGTTTGCTTTGTGCGTGTTTGCTACGTTCGTGTTTGCTACGCACGTTTGCTATGTGTGTGTTTGCTATGCGCGTTTGCTATGCGCGTGTTTGCTATGTGCGTGCATGCTATACGCACGTTTGCTATGTACGTGTTTGCTATACGCGTTTGCTATGCGCGTGTTTGCTATGCGTGCGCGTGTTTGCATGCACGTTTGCCATGTGCGTGTTTGCGATGTGCATGTGTTTGCTATGCGCGTTTGCTACGCGCGCGTTTGCTACGTACGTGTTAGTCGACGCCCTGGACACCCTTTGGGGCCGAGCCGTGGCCCAGCGGCAGCTCGCTGCTTTTTGCAGAGATTCACTGTCCGAATCCAGTGGCCACCGTGATTAACGCTGCGGGTGCAATAGCCGTTATTACAATAATAATAACAGCCATCCTTATTATTACAATCATAACAATAATAGCACTCCTGGACATCTTCTTCACCCGCAGTGGACATCACAGATCCCCGTGACCCTCATTCGCAAGAGGAGACCATCGCGTGCCTGCGTAAGGGTCACAGATTTCGCCATTTTAAAAAATTACGCCGCTAAATTACTCCATTGGGATGAACCACCCACCGGCAGACTCATGCCCCTGGCTCGCTCGATTCCTCGCCCAGTTGAACAGAATAAACTGAGACCCTTGCAAAACGAGGCATTTCCTCCCAGGATTATCCAGGAGAAATGTTCCCCGTCAGACGCTCGCAGCTTGCGCCACCTTTTTTCACCGCAGCCTGAAGGAGCTGCGGGCCCACCTGTGGAAGGAGGGCCTGCGGGGCATCCACTACCTCATCGTCAATGACAAGAGCTCCGCCTCGCTGGCGCGCTACGAGCGTCTGAAGGCCCAGGTGCCGCCCGCCATCCCCGTGCTGCAACACGCACCCAACGACACGGACGTGTGGAGCACGCTCGGCGGCACCAAGGACGACTTCTTCATCTACGACCGGTGAGCGAGCATGCCGGAGACACGGGGGGCCACGGGTGGGTGTATGGGGGGCATGGTAGGGCACAGAGAGCCACGGGGGGGGGCACAGAGAGATACAGGAGGGGGTCACTAAGAGACGGGGGGGCACACGGGATGCCATGGAGGGCACGGAGAGGCACGGTGGGGCATGGGGGATAGGGGCACGGGGATACGCAGGCCCAGTCCTCCGAGCCGCACGGGGTCACAAACCATTGATCCAGACTATGAAAAATAAGAATAATTTGACCATTTATGTCAATAAAAAGGTATATTCTTGGTTCTTTCGTTAAAGTTACGTAAATACAAAAAAAAAGTAAAAAACCCACTACGTTTCGGGTTTTTTTGCTTTTATTACTGTATTTTTGTTTTCTATTTACGTGACTTTACTGAAACAACCAAGAATATGAATTACAGCAGTCACGAAAGTTTTAAGTCTACAAATAAAATAGGTGTTAATATGCTCAAACATCAAATACTGTAGATACCTTTTGGAAGCATAAAACCTATTCCTATTTGTCATACTTTGATACTGGCAAAAAAGGTCCCATAGATATAACCAGAGCAGGCTGTGGAGCAAAGCAAACCGGGTCTATGCACCCGGCCAGACCTGGTCCATGGGTCAAGACTCAGACTATGGACCCAGGGCATGAGTCGACACCACATCATGTCCTTTTGCCCAGACTAGACCCAGACCCAGTCCAGCGAGATATTTTTCTGGTTAGCACATTGTACTGTAAACCTGGTAACCAGAGTTCAATTTCCGGCCATGGCTAACATCAGCAGCGAGTGACATCTCAACAGCACTGAACAAATTTGGTGAAGTATGGCCAAACAATCTTCATGACTGAAAGCCATGGGAAGGCCTTTATCTGGAAATGGATCGAGAATGGGTTGTGCATTAACATTACATTTTTGGAATAAATCAGGCCCAGTAAACTTGTGCCACCTCGGTATAAATATCTGTGGTGGCCTCTGCAGCAACCGGGTAATTGACACCTCTGGGATAGCTCCAGTAGCACAGACCAACCCCCCCCGGCATCGTTCTTAGTCAGCCTTAGTCTCGCATCACAACTCAGAAGCATCCTGAAATTAGGTTTCTCAAAACACCGGTTACCAGATCTCTGTGCAAATTAATTCCTTGCTTCTACCCCCGAAGACCAGACGTCAATCCCCAGACTGTCCACGTCCAACCCGGACAGGTGGCCAATACCCCAGGGTCACGCAGAGGCCATCGAGCTCGAGACCAGTGAAGCCGCCTTTTGGGTGATGTCGATGTTGTTGTTGTCGTGGCACGCGCAGATGTGGACGGCTCGTGGCCAAGGTGGGGCTGCCCTTGAGCATCCTGGCCTTCCCGTACGTGGAGGAGGCTGTGCGGCGCGCATACTATACACTGGATGTGTGCGGGCCATGCAACAAGACGATGAAGTACAACACGGTGCGTTTACGGCAGTATACACACTCACGTGGGGGCGAACCCGGCGACCCGAGTTCGATTCCCGCTCCCGACTAATAACAGCAGCGAAAATTTGAACCAAACTTGGGTTCTCAGCCTTTAATGAGTACCTGGTGCGGTGTGTAAACGTCGGCACTTTGGAGACAAAGGCGGCAGGGTGTGGTGCTCGTCAACCACCTCCTCGTGTGCCATTCCGGCCTTCATAGGTGCTCGCTTAACAGCACTTGTCCCTTCAATCTGTTACACGGGAGATCTTTGCTTTCGGGGGTAGGGGGGGTGGTGCTTTGAGAAGGCGACCCTTGGTTACTGTTGATGGATCCCGTCCCAACTTGACACCAAGTACGCACACATACCGTGCATGTGCGTGCCGTGCATAACCACATGCCTCTACCTGCAACTTAAGCACTGGAGATAAGCCCCAGACAACTCCAGCTTGAATTAAGCCCAGCTTAGTTTTAATGCATGGGCGTCTGAGACCAATATGATTCGTAACCGATCTTCGGGTCGAATCGCCGCACAAGCGAAATTGCATGTCGTAAACCCTCCTCCACCTGACATGACCATATCAATAACGCTGTTATGCGATGACCAAACGTGCCGGTTGCTGGTTGCCCCAGCAGCCCCAGCTGTGGCGTTGCTGGAGAGAGATTCCCAACGCAGTGCACACCGGGGTGCAGACGTGGCGCTCCGACCGACCGACGGCCGGCATCGTCAGGCAGTCTCTACAATTGCCAAAGTGTCCTCCAGTCTCAGGCCCTAAATTTGGTGGTGCAATTTCAACATAAAAAGCATCAATTATGAAGCCCTGGTTTTACCAACCGTAAATTGGAAAACATTTTAGTTCCGGCAGAATGAGCTTTTTGGAATGTTTTCCATAACCAATTATTGTATTACTTCTTTCTATTTTTTTTTTACCAGCTAAGGCCCACCGAGCTATATAGCTCTTTTTCACAAATGATAGCTCAACGAAGTGGCTTATCATGTGGAAATTTATAGCAGCAAAATACTCTCAACGCATGTCGATTCTAAATGGAGGAAAAAAACGAAGGACTCAAAATATACAGCAGGCGTCAGGGTTCAGATCGAACCCGCGTCCTCCTGTACACCAGGCGAGGTAGTTAACACCTCAACACCTGATCCCATTTCAACTTCACATGTCACCTTCATCTGATGAAGGTGGCCTGTAAAACAAACTCTACTGGGTTTTGCCCGATTACCTTTTTTTAAAGTGGTTAAATGTACCCAAAATACACCGCAAGACTGGGCAACATTGAACTCGCAATGTGCGGCTGGTAACCGCCGGCGCTGCCGGTGCTGGATTTTTCTCTTGCGCTGCTCCGCAGACGGTGAATGGCAGCGCGCCATGGGAGGAGGATCTGGAAGCAGCACAGAACGGCAAGGCGGCGGAAGTGCCCACCGCAGCCCCACTACCGCTGGGTGGCACGCGGGTGCTGCTGCTGCCCAACCTGCAGGGTCAACGCTCAAACTCCAAGCAGCAGCAGCAGCACGGCCAGCATCACCACCACGTGCCGGATGAAGAACCAGATCCGGATAAATCAATTCTGGATTAGCACTTAGCGATTCACTCACCGGCTCACTCACAAACTCACAAGCTTACTCTCATACCCCACCCACTAATTCGCTGACCGATGCATTAAATTAGCCATCTCTCTCACTCGTTAAACTTAGCAAACATCAACCTACTAGTAGACTCACACAAGTTAATGAACTCACTCACACCCACCGATTCATAGACTTACCCACTAATTGACTGAGCCTTTCACTCATCGACTCACTCCCTTGCCAACCAATTCACAACTCTCACCGACTTACCCACTCATTCGCTTCTGACATTAGTTTTTAGTCTCCACCTGATTCTGGGACTCTTTAAGACCTTGAAACCACAAGGCCCCAACGGTAAAATGCAAGGCAGGGTTGATTGAGACGAGAAGCGGGTGTATGAACGCACCTATTCTGCAGTGGATCCGCGTTGAGTTTTAATGCGCAGGTTCAAACACATACATAAACTCTTAATGCCACATCCAAGCCGCACCTTGCGCAATCATGGACAACATAGAACTGTGACGAGCAGGGACACGCGCGCGTACATGGCGTGTCCCCGATGTTTTTGTGCTAACCCAGGGTGTAGGGACCAGCGGTGCGCCATCGCAGGTGATGGTCGGCAGCTGCGTTGAAGTGGCTTCGCAAAAAACGGTGTTCTGGTGTTCTCACGGGGTCGACCGAGGAACGCTCGGGTCGCCCAGTTCCTCCCAGCTTGTTGCTTCGATGACGACTGCAGCCAAACCCAGTCTCCTGGGGGCTGCAGCCTGAAGCTTGCAAAGGCAACTTGTTTCGGGGGAAGGGCAGCCGACACCCACATCTACCGGCGAGCCCTCTGCGCTTCGCGTGCCGTGTTCATGAAGGGGCTTGTGGGTAAAAATCCACCACTCGCCCAGAGGCAGCCACAGTTGCATCCACGGGGATCGCGCGGGGCGAGGCAGAGGAGAAAGCGGTGTCCGAGAGTGACGCTTGTTAATCCCCGGGTGAGATGAAAGCCCCCGTGCAAATAAAGCTACCGCGAATTAACAAGGCCTCGCGTCCCCATTACAATGGCATCGCAGCGCACGTCACATACGATGGCCGCTCTGGCTGCACAGCTAGCGCAGCGAGTAGAGTCCACCACCTTTTCCACCGTCGACCAAAGCCTACCAAGATATCTCAGTCAGCCTAAGCCTGTCAAAACTGTGCACTATACCGTCGTGAAGCTTTACACAGAGTAATGGTACCAGATCTCTGTGCGAATCAATTACTGCCACCCAAACAAAGGCGCACATTCCCGCACTGGGTCGAATGCGGACAGGTGGCAACCGTGGAAGGTGTGTGTAATCGGAGTGTGGGAGTCGATGAGTGGGCGCGTGAATGGGCGAGTGAACGAGTGACTGGGTGCATGTGTAACGAGTTCCGGAGACACTTGTAGAGGTAACTTCTTTATTACAATACAACACTCCAACAGTACTCCAACAGCCCAACACTCCCAACTCTCCAACACTCCTGATACTCTGTTACAGCCTAGGTACACAGCCTAGGTACACAGCCTAGATACTCTACTCTGGCTACGCTCTGGAACTCGCCCTCACAAGGTCGTAGAGTCGGGAGTTCCAGAGTCCCACCACTGGCTCTCACAGCGTCCCAGGGTCCTCCGATGGCTGGTCTTGGGTCTTGGGTCTTGAGCTACGACTGGCCCTGATCGTCCAGGGAGCTCCGCTTTTATGCCCAGTCCCCAACGAGGGGTGGGGCCGTGTGCGCCCCCAGATATCCCACAGAGCACACACAGCCCCCCCCTTTGGCGGCGCCAAGGGGATTAAGCGCCTGGGAACTCAACGCCTGACGCCAAGAGGCTTAAGCGTCTGACCCACCCAGGGTCCCAGAGCCCCCAGCAGCTCCTCCCTTATGTCACTACAATACCCCCCTCTATGTAGCCTCCAGCCGACCCGGCTGTCAAAAAAAATACAATTGTCCAATAAATTATTTGTTAACCATCAGAATGAGTGTGTGACAAAACAAGAAAAAAAAATTAGAAGAAAGCGCCTCTCCCCCTCCTGTGGTCACGCGTATATAAAAAAAAACTCCAGGCCACCGATGCAGAACAACACTGTATAAACACATATATGCAGGATGAACGCACAACCCCAATCGCCTACTATACATGATGGCAAGGTGAGTGGCGTCGCGTTGGGACGAGAGTTCGTGGGCGGGATCATGAAAATCGTTTGAGTTTTGAGCGAGTCCATCAGTCGCGACGGAGGCGGGAGGGGACCGACGACCCGCTGTTGCGCTTGTGTCCTGGGTCGCTGATCCCACGGGCAAGCTTGTTCCCGCTGGGTCGGCCGTGGCGGGTTTCATTCCCAAGGCACCTGAGGGCGGGACAGCGGGACCTGCCCGAGAGTTAGAAGCAGCATCATCGCGGCGTGGCTCGTCAGACATGTCGCGCTCTCGGCCCCGGAGAAGTGAAGGAGGTGTGTAGGGTTGAATGTAAGGTTTTAGACGTGACGGGTGCACGAACCAACGTCGCTTGCCATGCTGGATCCTGACACACTGCGGGCTGAGAACGCGAATAATAACAACCGGGCCTCTCCAAGGCTTAAGCAGTTTTGAGGAAGTAGCCAATGGTACCTGCGGACAGTGGAGCCAGGCGCGGTCCCCTTCTACCCAAACGTGGCGGGATGTGCGGAGATTTCGCAACTGCTCGTTGGCAAGCTGACGGGCTTCTGAGTTATTTTGAGCAGCCTTCCGGGCATCCATGAGATGACGCACATTAGCATGGATGTGGTCGGCAATCTTAGCCTTAGGTGCGGGCTGTTTAATGTGCAATTGTACGTCGATTGGGGGGCAAAACTCCCTACCATACATAAGATAGAATGGCGAGTACCCCGTGGCAGCATGGGGCGCCATTCTATAGGCGGCCAAGACACCAGGTATGTGGAGATCCCAATCAGTCTGTGACTCAGACACCTGGTGGCTTAGCATGGAGGTAAGTGTCGTATGTAATCGCTCGACCATACCGTCAGTCTGGGGGTGATATGGTGAGGTGCGAATGTTGTGTGTCCCTAGCAGGTTGCACACATTCCGCAACAGGGTGGAAGAGAAATTTTTCCCTTGGTTGGTCAGCAGGCGTTCGGGAGCACCCTTATCCAGGACGTAGCCCTAGAAAAAGGCCTCCTTAATGGCTGCTGCAGACTGGTTGGGGAGTGGCCAGGCCATGGCCCATCGGGTAAAATATTCGACCCCAACCAAAAGGTACTTACTACCCCAAGGAGTAGCGGGAAACGGACCCAAAATATCCAATGTGACGATCTCATTGACCCGGGAAACCTTAATGGATTGGAGCGGCGGGCAGGACGGCCTAGCAGGTGGTTTCCGCCGTGCACATTCTGTGCAACCTTGCACAAGGTCAGCCACATCATTTGCCATGCCCGGCCAGAAAAATTCCAATTGGATTTTAGCTAGTGTTTTCTGAACACCCAAGTGCAAGAGGCGACTGTGGGTTTCCCACACAAGTCGCCCCCGCAGGGAGGTGGGCACCACCAACGTGTGGGATTGGGACCCCCCATCCCAATGCATGAGGACGCCTTCCCGGATGACATATGATACGGGGCCCCCCTGCCCCCTGTGATCCTCGGCATCCCTAGCGCGGCGTCTCAATTTGAGGAGGGAGACGTCTTCCATCTGAAGACGTCCCCAGTCGTCCAACCCGAGGCCCAGGAATGCGTCCTGCGGAACTTGTGTGGAGGGAGCCCCGTGGTCCCCGACCCCATCCCTGGCCGCGGCCGCAAGGGATGGGGGCGGTACCCCGTCAGGCTGCCTACAACGCCCCGCACCCAAAAAAACAAGCACAGCGCCCATTGTTTGGCAGTCGCGACAACCCATCAGCGTTCCCGTGTTGAATCCCCGTGCGGTAAATGACAGTGAACGCAAAGTCCTGGAGGATCTCGAGCCAACGCGAGAACTGTCCAGATGGTTGGTCCACTCGCGAGGCGTATTGTAGCGCCGCGTGGTCGGAGCGTACTGTGAAATGCCTGCCATACACGTATGGTCTGTACTGCTTTATGAAAAAAACGATAGCAAGCAATTCGCGGCGCGTCACGCAGTAACGTTGCTCCGCGGGCGACACCACCCTGCTGCCATAGGCGACGACGCGCTCTGCTCCACTTCTGCCGATTTGTCACCATTACAGCATGCTAAATTACGCACGCTGCTGAGCGATTTCGCCGACGTTTTCAGTCAAAGCAAATTCGACATTGGCTGCACTAAATTGCTAAACAACCACATCAACACGGGTGATGCCGCTCCAATTCGTCAAAACCCATTCCGGTTGAGCCCGGCCGAAAAGGAAAATGTAATGGGTTCCGGAGACACTTGTAGAGGTAACTTCTTTATTACAATACAACACTCCAACAGTACTCCAACAGTCCAACACTCCAACTCTCCAACACTCCTGATACTCTGTTACAGCCTAGGTACACAGCCTAGGTACACAGCCTAGATACTCTACTCTGGCTACGCTCTGGAACTCGCCCTCACAAGGTCGTAGAGTCGGGAGGTCCAGAGTCCCACCACTGGCTCTCACAGCGTCCCAGGGTCCTCCGATGGCTGGTCTTGGGTCTTGAGTCTTGAGCTACGACTGGCCCTGATCGTCCAGGGAGCTCCGCTTTTATGCCCAGTCCCCAACGAGGGGTGGGGCCGTGTGCGCCCCCAGATATCCCACAGAGCACACACAGCCCACCCCTTTGGCGGCGCCAAGGGGATTAAGCGCCTGGGAACTCAACGCCTGACGCCAAGAGGCTTAAGTGTCTGACCCACCCAGGGTCCCAGAGCCCCCAGCAGCCCCTCCCTTCTTATGTCACTACACATGAGAGAGATGGGGTTGCCACTTTTCCCCACAGGCATTTCTCAGTCGGCCTCGGTCTGTTATCCTGCCATATAATTCAGTGCAATACCGGTACCAGATCTCAGTGCACATCGAGTCCTGCCACCCAACCCAGATGTCAATTCCCAGACAGGCGGCAACTGGACTCGCGAGCGCCCACGTTCCAGAGGGGTGGCGCCGCTGCCTTGTGGGAGAAACCGCAGGGCGTAAGGGGGGATTCGACTCCTAACCGATTCACCGAACCTACGCTCACTCGCCGCTCGGCACACAACTCCGCAACACTGGCACTCTGTGCTCTCCATAACACACATGCTGAGAAGTCTCAAACACACGCCTGGAACTGTATAAGACGGATGACTAGTTTCAACATGCACACCTTGTACTCTGGAACACAAAGTCTCAACATCTTGCACTGCACGGGACTCACATAAGCTTGCTCGATTCTTCATAGGACACCAATCCAAAATAATAATTTTTATTTTACCAGGTAAGGCCCTCTGAGCTATAACGCTCTTTTTCAGAAGCGATATCATGTGAAAATGTATAGCAGCCAAATACTCGAAATGCGTGATGTTAATTCCAAATGTGGATCGAAAAAACCGGAAGACCCGCAGAAAAATCCACGCGACAATGGAGAGATGCAAACTCCAAATATACATTCATCATACTCTTTGGTTCTTTCGGTAAAGTCACGTAGGTATAAAATAAAATAAATCACGACATTTCGATCGCAACACAAGCGGGTGTCATCAGGTGGAACAGATACAGCAGGAGAACTGCTGACATAGGAGAAAGAGCTGCTGCAACAAGAGTTTATATCGTATTTTGGTGGGCTCAACCCAAGGGTAAGTGGGCGGAGCTAGGCCTCATCTACACACACAGCGTTCTTACAACGCACCTATCTCGGCCTCGCTGTGCGCTGCGTTGCACCGCTAGTCGAGTAGATAACCTTGCGTTCAATAAACCCTCGGAGCCAGGATGAACGTCCAACTCCAATCGTCATTTATTGATTGTAACAAGGTAATACTGGTGAGAAAACACAGATACAGCATCTGTTATAATCCGGAAACACTAACACAATGAACACCACAGCATCAGAACATTGTCTTAGATAACAATAGATCCTGGACGGACCAGGCCCCTACATTACCACTGAA